CAGTTTCTCTCCCTGTGGCCATGCACTCCATTTGCAATCTTCTGGTTACAAATAATCCAGCACATGGTGTATCGTTGCCCAAACCAAGTGCTTGACAGTGGTCCTTACTTGTAGCTCAAGCTTTAAATGTAAATTCCTGAGGAGCAATCTGATTGGCTCTGCTCATCTTTCAAAGACATCACAGGCCTCTGGTCCTTTGATCTGTCCTACCTTCTTCTCACTGTCTGGTCCAGCATAGATGGGATCATGTGGCCTCATAGAGTAGATTCCTTAGGTGGGGGTAGGAAATTTGCAGGGTGAAGCAAGAAATGGTTCTCAGCTCTAATATTTTTTTTGTTAAGAAAATGTTCTTTATGAAAGATTTCAGATGGTGTGTTCATTTCTTCACACACTATATCCTTTGATCAAAAGGGATAGTAAGAAAGGTGTATTTGAGCCAGCTTGCTAGGCCTTAAGCATACTGTTTTCACAGAGCTGTGTTTTGCTTTGTCACCTCACTGGTTTTTAGTGAGAAAAGTGATATGAAAGAGCCCTATTGCAACGATGACATCATTTTCTGTTGTTGGGGATGTTGTCCGTCTAATTCAAAGCTCCATGTGAGAAATTTGTTTTCAGCATAAACTTAAGGGCATATTTCTTCCTCAAAGGAACTGCCCGTTTCCTGTCTCATGAACAAAGAAGACTGTACAACATATTCAGTCTCTTTCTGTGTTGGTGTCCAGAAAATCCAGGTCCTATAAACCAAGGCTTAGCTTTAGCAGGTCCCAGCCTGTTATCACCTGCACATCTGTGTTTGTATTGGTTAGGGTTTCTGCTGTGGTGATTAAGTACCATGACCAAACTCGGGGAAGAAAGGGTTGATTTTGCTTACTCTACCTTATCACAGTTCATAAGCCAAGGTAGTCAAGGCAGGAACTCAAACAGATCAGGAACCTGGAGGCACGAGCTGATGCAGAGGCCATAGATGAGTGCTGCTTATTACCTTGCTCCTGCGACTTGCTCAGCCTACTTTCTTATAGCATCCAAGACCACCATCCCCCAGGTGGCACCACCCACATGGACTGGGCTGGGCCCTCTCACATTAGTCACTGATTAAGAAAATGCCCTACAAGCTTGCTACAGCCAGATGTTATAGAGGCATTTTCTCAACTGGGATTCCTTCCTCTCAGATGACTCAAGCTTGTGTCAAATTGACTTAAAACTTGCCAGCACAGTATTCTTGGCTTTGCTTGACATATTCCCATCCTTCTTGATCTTTGGCTCTGTGTACATTTGTTCCTTATAGCTCACTCATATTTTAAAGAGTGAGCACAGCTGCAGAAGGGCAAGCAAAGAAAACTAACCATGCTAGGGAGAACACTGGACTAGAGTCTCAGTCCTGGATCCAGGCTGTCGTCTTGATGTGTCCCAGGACAACTCTTCCAATGGCAAGCGTCCACTGAACTAACAACAGCAACAACAGCCATCATATACTTCAAGGTGGAGAAGATCTATGCTATCATGAAATATATAGTGAGGATTACAGCAAGAGTCTCAGGATTTACCTGAGGCAGATATTAGTGAAGTTGGTTAGCTAAGACTTGTAGCTAGAGTTTTCCTGCCTGGCCCACAGTCAGGACAAATCTCTCTCACCTGCCAGTCCCACAGCTGCTCAGACCCAACCAAGTAAACACAAAGACTTATATTGGTTACAAACTGTATGGCCGTGGCAGGCTTCTTGCTAACTGTTCTTATAGCTTAAATTAATCCATTTCCATTAATCTATACCTTGCCACATGGCTCATGGCTTACCGGCATCTTCACATGCTGTTTCTCATCGTGGCAGCTGGCAGTGTCTCTCTGACTCAGCCTTCCACTTCCCAGCTTTATTCTCCTCCTTGTCCCGCCTATACTTCCTGCCTAGCCAATGGCCAATCAGTGTTTTATTTATTGACTAATTAGCAACACATTTGCCATACAGAACATCCCACAGCAAAGACTCACTAAGCATCATCTTCCTCTAAAGATAATAATGCTCCTGGGCTGTCCTAAAGATTAAAGAAGGTAATATATCCAACACCTAAAACAATCTTTGACACTAAGTATTCAAACATATTGACATTGTTTCCTACTCTGTCCAAACGTGCTCTGCCACTGACTTCTGCTGTTGTTGTTGGATAACGGTACTGGCTGGCACATGATGTCAACGTCGATTCTTTTTTGCCCTGAACAAAGTATATTTTTATGCTTTGGTTCTTTTATTTGCAAGTGCTTAACTTATTTAACTATGTCCAAAACAGGAATCGTGACTAACTTCTTTGCCTAGTTGTAAACATAGAAAGATAATAATTCACGGGCCAGAGAGATGGCTCCGTGGTTAAGGGCACTGACTGCTCTTTCTCAGTACTCACATGGCAGCTCACAACTTCATGCAGCTCCATTTCCAAGGGATATGATGCCATCTTCTTGTCTCCATAGGCACTGCATGCACACAATGCATAGACAGACATGTGAGCAAATCACTCATACACATAAAATAATAAATCGAAAAAGTAAGATAACAATTTGGATCTTGGTATTTTAACTGAGTAGTGTGGTTCTTACCTAATACCTATTTGCAGGGGAAGAGGACTGTGACTGAGTAACTCTGGAGTCATTGCTGCTGACTTCACCTATAGACCTAGGTGAACAGACACATTGATACTCCTTTGATAGGAATTGCTCCTTGTCCTATGGGCAGCTGGAAGCCATTCAGCCTTGGCTATGTCTTTATAGTCTTTACTATAATCTGTCATGGGGCACGTAAGTATTTAGCCACTGAGAATGCCCCTAAGCACCAGTGGCCGAGAACAGGTCAAGAGCAGGTCAGCTGTTTTATAAAGCCACCAGGGGCTGGTTAAGCAGTAGTAGGTGACAAGGCATCATTTCCAGGCTGATCTGAAATGGACGGACACTGTGATCCTCTGTGCACAGACCTCAGTGCGGGAAGCCAATTAGAACATGAGTGTCTGTTCCCATATCACCTCGACGTGCCGCCCCTTGAAGGGGACACCAGTTTCTCCACCGAGAGAACAAGAGAGAATATTTATGCAGAGCTCATGAGGTTGCCCATGCACTTTCTGCCTCTTTAATGGACCGGGGCTGCTCACAAGAATGTTTTCTCATTACTATTAATTTCCTAAACATTATTCCAAACCAAGCTGTCCTGAGACCAAGAAAGAATTAGGGTGCTACATCTCAAGTTTCCAACCAGATGGCTTAGACTTAAAGCCCCAGTCAAGTATTTGTTTCTTTACCAGCCTTCGTCTCACACCCTGAACAACAGAGAAACTGAGAGCACACGGATTGCATTTTCTATCAATTAACAGCTTCAAACTTGGAAAGTCAGAAGTTTTGAACTCAAGAGTATCAAGGAAGGAACAACCACTGGAAACCTGCCTGAAGGAAACTCCAGAATCATAGAACTCGGTCTGGCCCCTTGCAGCTCTATCTTTCCTGTATAAACTTGAACTTAGAGGGACAACCTTGCTTTGGTGAGACTGCTTTCGAGCAACAGGCTAGAAGCCCGAGTCCCCAGTTTCCTCTCCAAACATCATTCCTCATATGATTTTATACAGTTTCTCTTGGGTAACCAGCCACACTTCCTCAAAATAAGACTTGCATCCCCACCCTTATTTGAAGTCTCAGGATAGATATTTATATTAATTTATATTATATTTATTTAAATTTATAATATATTCATATTATATTATGTAATATTATATTTATATTAATTATATTTATATTAATTATCTTCCCTACAAGGAGAGATGTGAGAAGCAAAGATGTAAGTAATTGTCCTGTTCCTCCCAGACAACGACACCACTGTCCAGAATCTGGGGCTGTCTGCAGCTTTCCAGCTAGATTTTCAACTTTGTGCTTTCCATTTCAGGGAACCAGATGTTGCAGGTTTAACATGCCCTGCAGTTCCACCCGACACCTTGAGACTTTCCCTCCCTTCACATCCCCCTTCTGTGACAGCCACCAGAAGTCTCCCTAAAGAGACTGAATACGGAGAAAGTGCCACAGGGAAGGAGGGGATCAAAATTCCTGGCTTAAGGAAACAGCTGAAAAAATGGAGAGACAAAGGCCACACCACAATCAAAACAATAAAACCAGCAAACATCTGGAGACTACAGTAAAATTCTGCTGTAAAATTCTGTGCGGGCCTATAATTTAAAATCTAGGTTTCAATCATGTTGGATCATGTCACCTAGTAAGAAATATATTTTATATTATTCCTCAGTAAACAGACTCACTTTAAAACAGTGTTTCCCCTTTACTGCATGGGATAAATGCTGATCTCTGCCCACCCCCCCATTTTATCCAATTCCACTTTAACCCACCTTATCTTGATCTATTCAAACCTTTACAGCTGCATTTCATTTAAAAGGGGAAGAGGTGGCTAACCATTAAATTACTTTCATAACCCACTAATAGATCGTAAGTGGTCATTTAAACAATGGTAGTTTGTGAAAATTCATGGATACAGGCTTCTGGATTCATAGACACTCAGAATTGTAGATCATCCTCTTGGAACATCATTTTCCATGTGAAAGCACCGAGCCCCACAGAGCTTATGATTCATCCTCACCCTACAGCTGGCTGTCAGCAGGGCCTGCATTCATCCTGGACTTGTGGTATGAGGCTAAGAGCCCGGATGGGATTCATCGACATGTTTTGCTTGGAAATCCATAACCTTAAGTGTGTCTCTTAAACCATCTGACCCCAGTTTTCTGTAAAATGGACTATTATGAGGATCAGTTAAATGCAACATAGGTGAGTCCGTTGTCCAAGGTAAAGAATAACTCTTGTCTCTCTCTGTTGGCCTCTCTCTAATGACCAGTGTTTCAGAAACCCCTCCTGCCTTTGGGGCAGGAAGGAACAGACTTATTGACCTTATTTTCTTCCTCACTCAGAGATGCCCCCAATGCCCTGTTCTTACCTTCTTTTCCTGATTTCTGGTTTGTTTCTTTATTTAGCACATCACTTCCTGCCGTTCTCAAAAGGCCTTTATCAATGTGTCCTGATTTGGGAGTCAAGATCAAGACTTCATCAGAAATAAACACTCAAACGTGCCTGTAACAGATCCACAACACTCCAGAGACTGAAGTCTCTCTGTGTGGGAAACAGAAGAGAGCAGATTAAGCAAATGGAAATTTATTGAAGATGTTCCACCTGGGTCTTAAGAGGCTGAAGACTTCCACAAACATCAGGAGGCATCAGTAAGAAGGTCTCATCTTCAGTTGGTTCTCCCCTAGGAGAACCATGTTTCCTAGGAGGTCCAGATGCCAAAGATTTCCTTTACTCTTGTGAGACAGGGTCCAACGTGGTCCATTCTGGCCTTAAATTTGTTATGTAGTAGAGACCAGTCTTGTGCTCCCTCCCATGCACAGAGACAACAGGCATGAACCACCACACACTGTGTGACATTTTTCTGATTGGATTGTAAGAACATGTGAAAGAGAACCCATTCTTTTATGTGGAATCCAAGGGACCATCTTGTGCATAGGTGGATTTGCCCAGAGGGAAGTTCATTTGGCATCAACTTTCTTTAGAGGTTTTGCTTAAATATTCACTTTCCTGGATGAGAGTTGTTCTTTGGTGCCTCAGGAGGAAAGGGTATGTTGTAGGCTCTCCTGGCATCTCCCAACCCTCAGCATGTTTCTAGAATGACAGCTGCCCTTGATTGCAGTCTTTTGGTCTCCTGTAACCATTGCTTACCTTGGAAGGGGTTCAAGGCACTGGTGTCCATTTCTCCAACGACCTTCATATGTTTTAGAACCAAAGTGGAAAAATTACCTGGGAAATACTGAAGTAAATCCATATGGTTATCTTCCCTTTCATATTTGAAAGATAGATTTGAAAGGGGAAGGCTCATTTTGTTCTTTTTTTTCTCCTATCAACATAAATTCTGCTCAAATATCTGGTTCAGTTTCCTTAGTAATTTATGCATTCTCAGCTCAGTGATTTTTCTGCAGAACCAGCCTTTTATGAGAAACTAGGATTTTCCTGGGGAGAAAATTGCTTTCTCTGTCACTGCACTCTATATTTAGTACATAACCACCTGTGTGACATGACCTGAGTTCCCACATCTAAAATGAGGAAGCTGTACCTGGAGAGGATATCCTTTTGTGGTGGTTAAGCGCATAGCTCTGGGAGTCAGTCTGCCTGGGCTTGATTCCTACTTTTCCACTTACTAATGGCACGACCTTGGGAAAATTACTTAATCCATCTATGTTTCAAGGCTTTTTTCTTTATTATAAATTAATGATAATAATAGTATCTATATCATGACAATTATATAAGCTAAGGCAATGTCCAATTTCAGAAACTATTATATGAGATTTAGTGTTTTTCTCATTGAAGTGACCAGTATGGTCTCCTATAGTTTTAATAGTGGATGATAAGATTATAATAACATTTACATTAGAATAACTATTTATTGCTTATAAGACTTTTCTCCACGTATCATCCTACAGATGAGAAAGCTGAGAGCCAAAAGGGTAGGTAAGGGGAGCTGGAGAGTGTTTAAGCACGTGAGTGTAGTGCCCACAGAGGCCAGAAGAGGGTGTCAGGTTCCCCTGGAGCTGGAGTTAGAAGCCTCCAGTTGTGGTTGCTAGGAACCACACTTGTTCTCTGCAATAACAGTACACACTCTTAAGCACCGAGTCATCGTTCAGCACAGATGGATTCGTTTTTAAGGAGAGCTGCTGAATGTGGAGTTGGGTCTTCTCACCACCAATTTCTGTCATAATGACACAATTTCTCACATAATGACACTATTTAGTTAAGTGTTGATACTTCCCTCTTAAATGGTCCTCTTACTGAACTCTCTCATTATATTTAAATAATGCCACTATTCTTCAAAGCACCGAATGCCACCAAAGAGCGTCCACAATGGCCCCCGCCCCTTTCTGTTTATTGGTTGCTAGTCAGGTAGCAGTTGCTGCACTAACATCAAACACACAATCTCAGTGGCTCAACACAAGTGAGGTCTAACACAGAGTACATCAGTGTTCTCAGCTGGGCAGCCACTGTGGGACGTAGGCATCTTCTTCTCTTGGGACCCTAAAATTCTTTTTTTCTGGATTGAGTTGTAATAAGGAAAACATTTAATTGGGGGTGGCATGCTTACAGTTCCAGAGGTTCAGCCCATTACCATCCTGGTGGGGAGCATGACGGTATGTGGGCTAACATGGTACTGGAGAAGGAGCTGAGAGTCCTACATCTTGTAGGCAACAGGAAGTGGGCTGAGACACTAGGCAGTATCCTGAGTATAGGAAACCTCAAAGTCTGCCTCTGCAGTGACACACTTCCTCCAACAAGACCATACTCACTCCAACAAAGCCACACCTCCTAATAGTGCCACTCCCTATGAGGTTATGGGGGCCAATTACATTCAAACTACCACACTGATTATTTAGCCACATTAATTCAGCAACATATATACCTTCTTCTCTCATTTCAATAGCAAATGTTAGTTGTGCAGGCCTGGCCCATATGGGTCTGAGGAAGCCTGGGATAGATCAACTCCAACTGGACAGTCACTTCCTGACAACCCTTTAGAAGTCATGAATTTTTGGTGATCAGTTTATCGTTTCTGCCATATTCATCCACCACTGCATCCAATCACTGCCAAGCTGTATTTGTTTTGTTTCTAAAATCTCCTTCGTACTCTGATTCTGTTCCCACAGCTATCACCATGGTCCAGTACACAGTACTGCTGGTCACACAGTAGTACCTCATCACAGCTATGTAAGCAATGCCTCTGCTTGTATTCCTTGTACTTTTCCATCTCTCTGACATGCCACAGCCAGATTAATCATCCCAAAGTATTCTTTTAAAATGCTATTTTTCAATGGCTCCATTCAGCCACAGTTCAGTAACAATGGCTGGGTTCCTGGCCATGTCAAACACAGTGCTACATATGGAGAGGGCTTGGTTCCTGTATTTAGGTTGCTTTTAGGTAGATGGAATTAACATACGTTCAGTGAGCTGGGGAGCCTGACACAAGCAGTAAGCAATGGGGAGAAGAAGAGCTGTGAACCTCGCTTGTTTACAGGAGGGAGATGCCGATCACTCAGAGATGGGGAAACAATCCCAGCTAAGGAAAAATGAATCTCAAAGACTTTGGGAAGTGGTGATGACAGTGTACTTAGTGCTGAATTTTCAGAGAGGTACAGAGATATGTCTCAGAAAATTGTCATTATTTTCTCCATGTCTGCTTTAAAAAAAAAATTAATGTAATTAGTAGAAGCTTGATTCTCAGTTTTATAGCAGATGTGAATTTTCAGCCCAAGCTAATATATTTGAGGTAGCAAATTATTCTCAAGGTTTTCTAAATGACTTTCTGACCTTGAGGTTAGAACTAAAAATGGCAAATAAGATACTGGCCTGTGCATGAATATTTCTTTCTGTATTTGATTGTCTTTTGAAAACATAGAAGTCAAGGAACTTCCAATTATATTTCAGTTCAACAGTGGTCATAAAATACATGACTTTTGACATTTAAGGTTAATTTTTTTAATTATTAACTTAGTTATTAGCAATGGTTATTAATAAGACTTCTTAGGCTGGAGAGATAATTTGGTGGTTAAGAACACTTGTTTCTTTTCCGTAGGACCCAGGTTTGATTCCCAGGACTCGCATGATGGCTCACAACTATCTGTAACTCCAGTTTCAGGGGATCCATTGCCCTCTTTGGGCTTACCAGGCATACAGGCAGTGTGAATACACACCTATAGGTAAAATACCCAGACACTTAAAACTTCCAAAACAAGTTTTTAACAAAGTGAACTTGACACTAGACAGCATGACTAAGCCAGCATGGAGGTTTTGTTTAATACATTTTAAAAAGACAATAGAAAATGGTAGACCCTGAATTCTTCTGAACTTTCAGTTGGAAATAAGTTAAAGACATCTACCTTTCTCCTTGTCTCCCTGCTTCCCCACCCTGTACCATGCTTCCTACTTCTGAAGTAATCGCCTTAGGGAACAGAATCAGTGTGAGGCAGGCTGTGCCTGATGGACATGAGTTTGGGAATTCAGTGTAAGTATTTAAGCCCCAGGTAGTAACTGGAAATACTAATCTGACAGTATGAAGCGATGCCTGAGGTCTGATTCTTCTCCCCTGCAGCCCACAAAATAAAAAGCAATAAGATGTGCTAAACTGAAAATATGGTGTAGATGGAATGATAGAAATCGTGGCAAGGAGGAAGATCCTGCATTGTAGATGTTGTCTACTGTTGCGGTTGGAGGTGGGAGACTGTGGGTAGCTTCCTATTCCTGATCAGTGAGTTTGTTTTCCTTTCTAAGTGTTCTGAGCTAAAGAACAAGCACTTGAGTTTGAGTCATGCAGTGGACTTAGTCAACACAAGACCCTTGGAAATATAAAACACAATTCAGCATGTGTATGTGTATAATATGATGGTGTATGCATATAATTCCAGCCTTTGGGAGGCTTAGGCAGGCATAGCTAAACACAGGGCCAGCCTGGGCTACATAGTGAGACCTTGTCTCAATAACAAGCAGACAGGTAGGCAGGCAGACCAGGAAACAAGAAGGGGCATGGCCTCATGCACAGTAAGCTGTAGAGGAGTCTCTTGGGTGACAAGAAGGCTTTAGGAGAAGAAGTCTTGAATACCCCTTTGGGTCAAGACTCCTGACTTGCCATTTATTGTCACTGCTAATTGAACTCCAGCATCAGAGTCTGAGCTCTAATCCCATTTCTGCCATTTAGTTTGGAGAGTTGAACAAGGTAGTGTGTGTGTCTTTCTGTGCCTAAGATGCCTCAGCTGTAAAGTGGTGATCTATCAACACGTCAGCTATTGAAACCTCAAGAAGCAGGACTTTCTGTAATAAAGACATCACCACATGCCAAGTGTTCTTAGTGACTCAGAAAAGGGAAAGCATTTATACAGTTGTTCTTATACCAAAATTAGAAGAACAAAGTATGATTCCAAACTTTTTATGAGGCCAGCATCACTCAGCTACAAAAGCCAGAAGGACAATACAGAAAAAGAAGGAGGAGGAGGAGGAGGAGGAGGAGGAGGAGGAGGAGCAGAGGAGGAGAGGAGGAGAGGAGGAGAGGAGGAGGAGGAGGAGAGGAGAAGAAGAAGAAGAAGAAGAAGAAGAAGAAGAAGAAGAAGAAGAAGAAGAAGAAGAAGAAGAAGAAGAAGAAGAAGACTGAAGGGCAGCATCCCTGAGGAGCATGCAGAAATCTTTAGCAAAACATTAGAAAATGAAATTCAATAGCACATCATAAAGATAATATACCTTTGAGTATATTATCTGAGTGTGATTTATCCCTGGAATGAAAGGATAATTCAACATATGCAAATCAATTGACATGATACACCACATTAACAAAATGAGGGATGAAAATCATTCAATTGTTTCAATAGATGCAGAAATTCAAAACTCTTTCAAGATAAAACTCCTTTTTCCCCCTTTTTTAATTAAATTTTTTTTCATTTATTTTACATACCAACCACAGTTTCCCTTCCCTCCTCTCTTCCTGTTCCCTCCTCCCACCTCCAGTCTATCCCCTCATCCACGCCTCCTCTGTTCAGAAATGGGCAGACCTCCCATGGGAATCAACAAAACATGCCATGTCATGACAAAACTCTTAGCAAGTTAAATACTGAAGATATCTCAACCTAATAAAAGGCTGTGTGAGGAGTCCATTGATAACATCATGTTCAATTGTTATGCTCATTCAATTCTGAGACCCGGAATAAAGCTAGAGGCCACTCGTTATGGTTCTGTTCAGCACAGTACCAGAACTGGCCAGAGTGAGAAGGTAAGAAAGATAAACAAAAGGCGTCCAAATCAGAAAGGCAAAATAAACATGTTTTGTAGATAACACAACTTTCTTTGTAGAAAACCTTTGCGACCACACAAAAATGTTAGAAGTGATAAAT